GCTCCGCCTGCCTATTCGTGGAGGCAAATTCGCCACCAGTATCAGCGCATACGCTCCGCCGATAAGCAGCTCTAACGCCGAAAGAGACAAATTCTACGAGAACCTGCACGCCCTCCTGGCGACTATATCGAAGGCGAATAAGTTGATTGTCATTTTTGACTTCAACGCTCGCGTCAGAACAGACCATGCAGCCTGGAGAGGAGTGCTGGGTTCCCATGGTCTCCGCGGCTCCAATGACAATAGCCTACTCCTCCCACGAACCTGCGCAGAACACCGACTCATCCTGACGAACGCATTCTTCCGCCTCGCTATGCGAAAAAAGGCATCCTCGGTCGCGTCAGTGGCACCTGCTGGACTATGTCCTCATCCGGAGGCGAGACCAGCGGGACGCGCTGGTGGCAAAGGCGATCCCGGGGTTGACCGGTATACCCAACATTGCCTCGTCATCTCGAAGAAGGAGATTCGCCTACAGCCTCGCAGGTGACCTCAGGGTAAGCGACCCCCCAGGTAAGCTGAGTATTGCCTTGTTGCCTTTGCCTGTCCACCACCTCCATTTCAGCAACGAGTTAGCTCAACGGTAGCCGACAACATTCCAGTTGCTGCCGCTGCCACCGCTGAAGAGAACGCCTCCGTTGAGAACCGGTGGTGTGAACTGTGGAACACCATCCAGTCGACGGCGCTGACCGTCCTCGGTCGCGCATGCCGCCAACATCAGGACTGGTTCGAAAACAATGACGTTGCCATCAGCAACCTGCGCACCGACAAGAACCGGTTGCACAAAGCTTCGTCACCCGCCCCACCAAAGAAAACAAAGCAGCCTTCTGCCGTAGTCGTCGTCTTGTCCAACTGCATCTGCGGGAGATGCAGGAGGCCTGAACGGCTTGCAAGGCTGAGGAGATCCAGGGGTACGCGTACCGCAACGGTGGGAAGAACTTCCTCTCCCCGATTAAAGCTGTCTTCGGTCCGTCGACCAAAGGCAATGCTGCTCTCCTCAGCACCCACGTCATTCTCCCTCTCTGAGAAGACAAATCATACAACGATTGGCCGAGAACTTTGGAAGTGTCCTCAACCGTCCCTCCACCATCTCCGATACTGCCATTGCCCTTCTGCCTCAAGTAGAGACTAACGCTGACGTCGACTTCCCGCATTCGCTACTAAAAACCATCAGCGCCCGGATCGGACGCGATCCCTGCTGAGATCCACAAGCACGGCGGCCCTCAACTCATGCATCACACGACTGCGTTCTTCCAGGAGATGTGGATTTAAGGAGAAGTCCCGCAGGATTTCAAAGACGCCACAATCGTGCACCTATAAAAGCAAATAGGAGACCGCCAACTCTGCGACAAACACGGAGGCATCCCGCTGCTGAACATCGCCGGGAAATCTTTGCCAACATTCTCCTCAACCGTCTGAATAATCACCTAGAACAGGGCCTCTTGCCGGAAAGCCAGTGAGGCTTTCGCCGTCATTGTGGAAGCACGGACATGCTCTTCGTCGACCGTCAACTGCAGGAGGAGTGTCAGGAGATGCGGATCCACCTGTACTCTACATTCGTGGATCCGACGAAAGCCTTCGACACGATGAATCTTGAAGGATTTTGGAAAATTATGCGTATCGATTCACTCAGATGGTGCGTCAGCTCCATGGTAGCATGCTGGCGCGAGTCACGGACAATGGAGCTGTCTCAGTGGCATTCGCAGTGACCAACGGAGTGAAGCAGGGCTGCGTCCTGGCGTCTACCCTCTTAAGTCTTCTGTTATCTGCCATGATGCTGGAGGCCTACCGTGACGAACGCCCTGGGATCTGCATCGCCTACAAGACGGGCGATCAACGCCTCAACCACAGGCGGATGCACTTCCAGTCGCGTTTGTCCACATCGACGGTCCATGAACTTATCTTCGCTGATGACTGCGCTCTCAACGTCACCTCCGAAGAGGACATACGCAGGCACATGGACCTCTTCGCAGCCGTCTGCAACAAATTTGGCCTCAGCATCCACTTGGGGAAAGCGGTGGTTATGCATCAACCGCCGCCCGACGCTGTCTTCGTCGAATCCCAAATAATCGTGAACGGAACCAAAATGCAAGTGGTGGACAACTTCACCTATCTGGGCAGAATCCTATCTCGCAAAACCAAAATCGACGCTGAAGTCGCCCGCTGAAATTCCAAGTTCACCCAAGCCTTTGTCCGCCTACAAAGCAGTTTGAAATCGACACATCAGCACGAAACTGAAGATGTACAAGACAGTCATCCTACCGAAGTTTCTGTATGATGCGGAGACCTGAAGTGTGTACAAGAAGCAGGCGCGGAAGCTCTATCATTTCCAACTTAGCTCGTCAGTGAATACTAAGGCTGAAATGACAGGACCGAATCCCGGACACCGATGTACTGGAACGGACAAAAATCCCCAGCATCGGCACCGTGCTGAGACAACTGCAACCGCGCTGGAGCAGCCATCTCACAGGGATGGAAGACGAGCGGTTACGCAAACGACTCTTATATGCAGATGCCGTCACGGGTTCCCGCCGGCAGGGGGGCCTCCCTGAAGCGCCTGCAAATCGACCCGGTCAACTGGGAAGACCTCGTTCGAGACCGACCGACCTGAATGAGGACAGTGAAGACAGGCGCAGCCATCGGTTTCAATACCGCAAACAAAATTTTATGTTAGAATTTGTTTCGACCGCATCTGTCCAAAGGATCTCTTCAAGCCGAACTGACACTTAGGCATATTCTGCCTTAGCGGTGTAAGTTCTGGTAGGAGTTTTTCGGCGCACATCGATGCTTTGAACACACTCTACCAGACGTTCATCAGCACGCGTCAGCAACCTCTCGTTATGATTCCCACCACCTCATTGTCACTTATCATAACTACCAGCGCACACAGGCAAACTGGTGGCTGGTGTCCAAGTAGAAGACTAGCAGTAGCAGGGGGCATCGCGGGTCACTGCATCTTTCCTCACCAGTAAAATTGGAATTGCTCTTGGTGTATATTTTGACGACAGTGGTTTCAGGATGTGGAAGGTAAACATGCGGTGGAAACTAGAAGGGCCAGTGATACGACATTGTATCTTGTCACTGATAAAAGCTCCAAGATATCTGAGCTTGAGGTTTGGGTTATTGGGATAATGATAAACTGTCAGCGCGGGTGCTGGAGCGGAGGAGTACATATGCAGTGTACTTTGTAACTCTGCTGCCACAGCGACCCACTTAAGTAGTTTATAAGAATTATCTTTGTTTGTTCTAAAGCATATAGGACTTATTGACCGCAAAGCCTGCTATATTTGTGCCGTCCGAAACGCCATTCAAGATGACGGTCGTCTTGGGACTTGCTTTGCTTGCGGGAAGGCGCAGGTAGCCGTGACGGCTACGGGCTGTTTTTGCGTGGGCACGCCGGCGGACGCGACTAGCTGAGCGCTAGCCGATGAGTGGCTGAAGCGATATTGGAGTTTGGATGGCGTACGTTTCTTGGTTAGCATACATATTTGATTACACTATTGATTACCAGTTAGCCCCGAAATAGATTTTCATCCTTATTCTTTAAATAAACGTCCAATGATTTTCTGTAATTACAGCACGAACCACTAATCCGATTGCAATGCCACAGCAAGCTTCCTGTAGTTACTGGCTTGCCGTGTAAAGACCTCCTACGTGGGAAATTCTCGAGGGGATCCATCATACTAAAACTCCTAGTAGAATCTAGACTTTTTGAAGTTGCTTGGTAGTGACCGTTGACACTGGGGGAGTTGTTATGACGAATAGAGCTCCCCCGGTTGACCAAAAGAATGTTTTTTTTTCTACGTATTTCTCATTGCCTTTTTCCCAGTTTATTACCAGAAGAGTGATTTGCCAGAGATTCAGGATCTGTAGAGAGTGATTGTCGCTCATTAGTAGATCACTAGTCAGATGTGCAGGGCTGAGCACGGCATCCGTTGGGGTAGACAGCAAAAATAACTACTACCGTTCTCCGATTGGATTGTGCCTGGCGTGAGCACGAGGCACGCCGCATCTCGGCCAATCAGCCAATGCGCCGATGTTCTGGGGCTGACGCGCGTGAATAGGCAGGTTGTCGTCGAGGTAGGGGGAGCCGAGGCGGTTAGGATGCAGCTGGTGAGGGACAATGGAACATATCCAGACCTGCAAGGTATACGTGACTAAAAATTCGAACCAGATGTGACGGATCTGGGCTGGCGGAGGTCTAATTATTGGGACAACCAAGGGGAGGGCAGGAACCGGGAGCTCATACTTTAAGACGTGTAAACGACATCCTAGTGAGCTTCTCCCCGTCTGAGGAAGTGCATTTGGGGCAAAGGTGTGTCGGGAGCATGATGTCACCTAAGTTGACTCTGGTCTTTCCAGTGACCACGAATGCATTCGTTTAAGGTAGGGAGGAGGCTTGGAGATCAAAGGAGACTGGACGGCTGAATAGTGGTGTCGACGCAGTTTGAGGAGGAATCAGTGAGACCACCCGACCATACTGAGGAAATGTAGACGCTGTCGATAATGGCGGTGGGTGTGACGGCGATTATTTATGATCTGCAGCAGTACCCGAGGACAGAAAATTAATATTGTTGGGATGGACCTAAAGGCCAACGAACCGGGGGATTATCCGTCAAATCCATTCATACAAGGACGAATTATGGTGTAGTGGCTCAGGTTGTGGGTGTTTTTAGGGCGCCACAAGCATCAGGCCAAATCAACATAGGCAAAGTACGCTGGATGACATCAGAACGTGGAGTTTATCGTACGCAGAACCCCGAGCTGCTGTCTCAGGCAGCAGTAGACACTGATGAGGCCAGTGCTCCCTGGCAGTGTTACGTCAGGCCTCAAATAAATGGGCTGGAGTCGACTGTTTATGTGTGCCGGGGTGAGCTCGAGACCTCTGAGCTAGTAGTGTTTTGCATTGGGATGGAAGGAGTGCCCAATGAGGGAATACTCAGTGTATGCGTCACAGGTCTTTCCATGAGCCTGCCGCACCCGATGGTTGCACCTCCTGACCCTTAACTTTCGTCCTTGGCTGCCGAGGCCATACTCTGCTCAGGGGCCAAACCTCGATCACCGCTTCGGCCGGCGGACCAAAATCAGATGAGAACATCTGGTTTGTGTGTCTTCATGCCTGTCCCATCCTTCCCACCCCACAAACACAAAAGTCCCACGGTCTGAGCCACAGCGACCTCGGGGGCGACTCAAGCTAGTTCGGGTCGTCTTCCCACTGAACAAAGGTCCTAGCCCATAGATGAACTTGGCAGCCACACTGGATAACTTGGCCACCTTACGTAGGCGAGTAGGGGCTAGAAAAGGTCGCGGCTAGTGGACGCAAAACACGCGGTCCAGCCAGTGCACAAAACAAAAACCATCTCCGTACCCACCTTCCTGCCTCCCCTCAGACTACCAGAGGGAAACTGCTCCCTATGACAGTCAGGAATGATTGTTCGCTTTTTGTCCGCTGGGTAATCAACCAAGAAGGAGGACAGCTGTATTTGCACACAAAGTGGCGCACTAAATGGCTGAAATCGGGCTGTTAGTGAGACCCGATTACTTGAAGATGGAAAACAGAAGGTAGGATCTGGTTGCACCGAGTGCAGACCTCCCAGGCGACGCCAGAGGACGCAAGAATCGCCTTTGCAATCGGCTGTCCTGATTGCCGAGGGGCCTCATGGTTATGGGGCTGCCGGTCAACGAAAACATACACGCTATATACACCACCGCCAAATGACCCGAATCGATGGCGTGAAGAACAAATTCTACGAAGACCTGCATGCTCTCCTCGCAAAGATGGTTAGGTCGGACAAAGCGACTGCTCTTGGTAACTTCAATACCTGCATCGGCACAGACCGCGCTACCTGTGAGTGCCCGGTTGCCAGCATATGGGCGGCGGCAGCGACAATCTTTCCCTGTAGACTCATCCTGTAGGCATGCACGGAAAACAGTCGTATCCCAAACCACACCTTCCGGCTTCTGATGAGGGATAATACGATGTGGATGCACCTATTCCAGCGGCTTAAACCATAGAGAGATCTCAACCACTACGACATTCAGGCCCGGTTCCGAATAGAAAGAGGTGTTGTACGCCAACTGAGAAGATACTTAAAAGAAGACAAAGACACGATCACTGGGACAGTAGATTTATTTGCCTGAGCTTTCGAACTCGAACTGGAGTTCATCATCAGAGACTGCTTGAGTGCAGCAACTTGTGGAGGACTGGAAACTACCCTTCCTGGACGTGCTCCTCAAGCGCACACCTGACGGTGAACTCAGCACTACAGTGTAAGAAAGGCGACCAATACAACTCAGGTCCTCAACTATCCTAGCAACCACCCATTGGTGCACAAACGGGGCTGTGTGAGGGGGCTTTTCGACCGTGTAAAAACGCACTGTAGTGAGCCCGGAGGAATGATGCAAGAACTGCGGCATCTCAGACACCAATTAACAAAGAACGGCTACACAAATAGTTTCATCAGCCCCTGCATACACACGCACCCACGACGGACAAACGGAAGAGAGACACCAACAATTTGACACTTCCTACCGCATACAAAGAATGTGCCCGAGGCCACAGAACGCATTGCGCCAGAGTTATGCGTGGGCATCGCTCATCATCCGGCGGCCACCATGCGTAGCAGGATCATGAAAATGAAGGATCGGCTAGATGCAGGTGAGAAGTCGGGCGTAGTCTATCAAATCCCGTGCCATAACTGCCCTTGCCACTGCACAGGCCAGACAGGACGACGTCTCAGCTCACGAATACTTGAGTACAAACGAGCTGTTCGGAGGGGCGACCCACTATCTCAAGTCGCCACTCACACGCTGGAGAAAGGCCATGTGTTCGACTTCGCCAACACGCGGATATTGGCACGAGACGGCAACAAGACAGGGCGCGAACTGTTGGAGGCGTGGGTGTCGGACACCAACTCTATCAACAGGCACATTGATTTGCCTGCGTGCTATCACGCGCCCCGCCCACGCAGCCAGATGGCGCAGCTCACATCGCCGCGAAGTACAAACGCCGCCACCACGCCGGCGGACCATTGTAGGCCAGGCAGCACAAGGCAGACCTAGCCACGGACGTAGTCCCCCCCTCACGGCACAACGATATAAATGTTTACACGTTGCCGCACTCAAGCAGTCTCTGATGATGAACTCCAGTTCGAGTTCGAAAGCTCA